GTTTAGGGTTTAGGGTTTGGGGATCGTGCAGGGGCTTCTGTCAAGTGGAAAGCACTAGTGCATGCACTTCTGCTGGCATTTACATGAGGCTTTACCTTGATGCCCGCCCGGGAAAACGCGTGAACATTAGGTGGTTTTAGTGGGGCAAGGACATCTAAAAAGTCATCAGCTACATTTGGCCAATGCTCCTGAGCGATTCAGAAATCAAGGGGCCACCAATCCCGAGGTAGTGGGATCCTCATTCTAAGTACCCCCTACTGACAAGAAACGCCCCAAATAGCAAACGAAGAGTCCTGTCCACTTCCGGAATATTGAGCAGCCTAAACCCTAAACCCAAAATCCTGTTCACTTCCGGAATATTGAGCACCCCCTAAACCCTAAACCCGAAACCCAAAGAGGAAACCAAGAGTCCTGTCCACTTCCGGAATATTGAGCACTTCATAGATGCAGCCGTCCACTTCGGCGGTCGTGCTCACCTTCTTCATGCAAGGGAAGCCCTCGAAGGGTTTTGGGTTTTTTCGTTTTAGAAGGGGTTTGGGGTCTAGGATTTTAGGGCTTTAGGGCTTTAGGGCTCTAGGGTTTTAGGGTTTTAGGGTTTTGGCTTTGGGGGTTTCGGCTTTGGGGCTTCAGGGTCTTGAATTAGCTTGCATCTTGCTGATTTCTGTGCTTCCGGGCTGTGAGCTCATGTGTCATCAAACCCCTGGAACCCTAAACTCGAAGCCCTAAAGCCATGGACCCCCATGCCCTGCAACCCCAGGCCCTGAAGCCCCAAAGAACTTAAGCTCTGTCCTCAATCGGGGCCTTCTGCTGCAGGTAGTCGGAAGCATCTTTCATCTCCTGCCGGGTCTTTCACGAAGCATCGCTGTTTCTGCTGGCCGAAGACGGAGTATGGGGCAGTGTTGCGGGTTTTTTCGCAGGGTTCAGATTCAGGGAATTCGGGTTGGGCTAAGGCGGCTAGGGGTTTCGGCGCGCAGTGATAAGGTTGAGAGTTCTTGACGACGACACCGGACACTATGCTACTCCTGGTAAGACGACGACGACGACGACTACGACGAGAACGACGGCGACGACAACTACTGCGACCACTATGACGCGTACCACGGCTGCAACTCCTACTCCTTCTTCCGTTCTTACTCCTACTCCCACGCCTACTCCTACTCCCACTCCTACTCCTCTGCTCCTGCTCCTCCTCCTGCTCCTGCTCCTGAGCCTACTGCTCCTACTGCTCCTACTGCTCCTGCTCCTGCTGCCGCTCCCGTTCCTACTGCTACTGCTACTTCTGCTGCCGCTGCTTCTGCTGCTGCTTCTGCCTGCTGCTCCTGTCACTAGCGCACCCTGCCTGAAAGTAGCACGGAACCGTGCTTTGGAAAATGGCTTCCCGGTGTTCTGATTCAGCTTCAAGGCCCTATGAATCCTAAACACCAAAACCCCCTAAAGCCCTCAACCCCTAGGCCTAGACGCCTGAACCCTAAACCCTAAACCTACAGTTTACCTGTCGCCCAGCAGGCCTACCCATTTCAGGAAGTATATACTACAAACCACAATAAGGAACCCTGGAAAGGTATAGGAAGCCGCAAAAAATTGGAATTCGGATTAAGGACAACTGGTGCTGATATTACCTATACATTACTCTTAAGGATTGAGGCCATTGAGTTTCCAACTTTTGGGCTTCTGCTGTAGGTCTGTCGGCGACAGGTGCGGTTTGAGAGATCTGCGATCGGCAGCTTGGAAGTTATTCAAAGTGACTGCGGTTTAGGGTTTAGGGTTTAGGGTTTAGGGTTTAGGGTTTAGGGTTTAGGGTTTAGGGTTTAGGGTTTAGGGTTTAGGGTTTACTGATATAGGGGCAGACTAGCTAGACTAGGCTTCCTTTAAGGACTAGGGTAACGAAAAGGGGCGTAGAACAGGTCCCTTAAGGCTTTGGGTGGCATTTCATGGTACAGTAATAGGATTTATTTAGGACTCTATACTTCGATGAGGGTTCTAGAAGGAACCTCAGGGCATAATACCTGTAATTTTGTCAGGTGTTCGTAGTACATCCGGAATAAAGAGACTCCCAAAATCGGCTTGGCTAAGGTTTGCAGATCAAATCCGATGGATGCCTCAGCCAACTACGGCTACTCCAGGCCATACTCCTTATGCAAAAGGCAGCAGACTCTCTTGGTAAGCCCTAAACGCTAAAGCCATAAAAAGCCCTAAAAAGCTAGACT